GGACTCTTCGAGCATCGTACTTTTTTTTCTAGGCTCTTCGTGAAGAACTCTGACCATCGGGTCGGTGGTCTTCCTGCAATACGTTTGACATCCCGAGGAATCCACTTATTAACGGCTGTTGTCCAACGGTTGTCATTCATACCCATTACGTGTCCTGCCCACCTTTTCTTCGACTGTTTGGCGTACAGAGCGTCATCTTTGATTTCTGGTCGTAGACGCAAGTCGGAGCATCGGATCCCATCATTTACTTGTGTGAAACGGGATACTTCTACATCGTCCCTTCGGCTGCGCGTTCGATAACGCTGAGTGATCTTTCATCCTGCTTAAGCAGCGACCAGGTTTCTGACGCATACCTTAGGGCAGGAAGTACCGTAGAGTCAAAAGGTGGGCACGGAGTCGGGTATTCTTTGTTCTCTTCACGACATTCTCGACGCTCGCAATAGCTCCCCAGGCCGCTCGTTTACTTCTGCTCAGCTCTGGAGCTAACTCATTCATCATAGTGATTTTCCGACATAGATAAACATAACTGGAGCATTCGGTGATATTCGTTCCGTTGAGCGTGAATGGGGCATGCGAAACCAATCTGTTCCTCATAAACATCGTTTTTGTGAGATTTAGTCGAAAACCATTCTTTCCACAGGCATTATCAAAGTCGGCAAGCGTACGTTCCGCTTGGCTAATGTTTGGTGTTATGAGGACGATATCATCAGCAAAGCGAAGATGGTGTAATTGCTGACCATTGATTTTCACTCTCATGTTATCCTATTCCAATCTTCGTATAACGTTTTGGAGGATGGCGGTAAATAATTTTGGCGAGATGGTATTGTCTTGCCTAACTCGTCTTTTTGACTTCAATGTTAATATCGTTGAAGAATGGTGATACTTTGGTTGTGAAATTCTTGTACTGCTCACGAGGAATCTTTATGTACTGAGTAGGGACTCTTTGACTATCAAGGGCTTCCAAGACTGCTTCAATCTCCATTGAATCAAAGGACTTCTGTAAATCGACGAAAATGAGACAGAGCGGTTTTTGTACTCTCGTGATACTTCAACGAGCCTTGTTAACGTGCGAATGTGGTCCATCGTACTAAATCTTTTTCGAAACCCTGCTTACTCACATGGCTGTCCTTCGTCCAGTGTTCCGTCAGTACTGTTTAGGATGACTCGAGTGAAAAGTTTGTGGCAGACAACCAGCAAGCAGATTGGGCGGTAGTTGCCTATATCGTGTAGGTCACCCTTCTTGAACAATAACACGGTCTTGCTGGTCTTCCACTGAGTAGGGTTCTTGTATTCAAGCAAGTAACTGTGAAGAGTTGAGCCAGTGTGTTTACGAAAACTGGGGGAAGGTTGTTCAGGTGTTCTGGTCTTGTCCTGTCCGGACCTAGTGCTGTTCGATTTTTCACCGACGAAGTGGCATGTGGGATTTCGGAAGGGAGCACCGGTGTTACAACATATCCATTCTCCTTCTATTCGTGAATAATTTTCTCCATTGCCTTTCTGGACGCTGTAACTGTTCCGTCTGGGCATCGGAGTGCAATCATCTTGGTCTTGCAATTGGCGACGCTTCGGTGGGATTTGCGAATGCTTTTCCCAGCCTCTGCAGCGTCGACCATTACTGCTGCTCTTCTCTCTTTAAAATCTTCTTTTATCGCCTGGTTTGGACGTTAGTCCGCTGTTGCCTGGAGCTCGTGCGTTTCCATGCTGACGTATCAGCTCGAGTTTTTGGAGGCAGACGTCTCTTAGTGACTTTCGAACTCTCAGCCTTCATAGCGCTAATGTGAAGATGAATTATCCAATTAAGTATAAAAATTGATGATTGCACTTGTATAGTTTAAAAGGATACAAGATGGACACGAATATGTCCCAACAAGCTTACATGAAGTCTAGTGGAACCGGTCGATATATCGATTTTGTTCGCTCTTATTGATGCTACTGTTTTTTTTACAGATATTGCAGCGTCTTTTCTACGGGTAGAGTCCAGCCATCAACAAATACTGATCGATGGACGTAAGTTTTTGATCTTTTTTGTCAATCTACTATTAAATCATTTTAAAAATTCCCATTACTTCCATTAAGCATTGGTTATTCCAGTCTTCCTAAGTTTTTCTTTTGTTTGAAAGTATGAGTACCGATTTTCATCCTAAAAAGTTATGAGAAAAAGGGAATGTGGAAGATTAAAGGGACATAAAAAATCATTGTCCCTAGGGAATCCAGAAACTTGATTACTCTTTAATGTCACTCGTGTTTCGAATTTACCTAAATGCCAGAGTATAATTATTTACAACTGATGCTTATACAAATTTATAGAACCGCATATAATTAAAGCAGAAACATGAAAAATTTGTGGAAATAGATAAAGGCTTGCAAAAACTTTTCAAAAATGTATGTAAGACGATCCTAAGGAAAATGTGAGTCATGCATGACTCATAATTTTGAAATGTTTCCTTAAATCAAACTAGTATTGATGACAGTGTTAATAAACCAAAAGAACTTCTTTCGTGAGAGAAGTTTTTACGTCGTTTATTTGGTGAAGCACTGAAACATGTTCTCTGTTAGTATTTTATGTGTAACGCTAGAAGTAACTAAGTATTAACATGGGTTGCAGGCTAAGTAAAAGAACAATTAAATAAGACGGTTGGACTGCACTAGAATTTCCAGAAGTCCCCATATCACTGGTTGTAACTCGTCGCTACCATAGCCGATCATCAGCTTCTTCGATGGATAACACGTTTCAAATTGATCATTGATCATGCATTCGACTCGATTCGTGACATCCTAAAAGTGGTTGAATGTACATTTGGACTATACAATGAATTGCAGAACCCTACCGAACCTTATGTATCATTGTTTGAAATGACTTTTTAAGATATTGTTTACTTAAGCTAATATTTTCCTGTCCCCACGAATCCTGACATGAATTCCACTAATCCATTCCTGTTCAACTCGTTTTTCATTTCTACTTTCGGCAACGATCTCGATATATTTGCAAAAGATGCCAGCTACGCCAGTTATTATGGACAATTTTCTCGCCGTCGTCATTTAGGAGAAGTGGATATGCCGTGGGAATTTTCTAGGCCGCAAGAGCATTGAGATACAGTGGAACTTAGTGGATTGACGTTAACGTTGTGAAGACAAAGTGGAAAGCTTCCGAATCCTTACCACTGACTATCCAAGTAGCAAAATATGTTCGTCTTAGTCTTTGGAAAACTACTAACTTCATGAAAGTGGTGGCTAGTAACCTTTGGAATGAAATCTTCTTGGAAATCGAACGTGTGTAAATAACGGGGTGGAATTGTGGTCAAGTATTTCAGTGTGTTACAGTACTGGAACTATTTGTGATGAATTGCTCAGAAACAGTTATTTTCCCAATACATATATATTTGTTGGTTAAATTCCACACCGCAGAATAACCACACTCTCTATCCTTTCTGGTTAGAAAATTGGTACCAGACCTGTTTGGGAGAATGTTAACAATTGTTTGATAGGCTCGGTTGGTGCACTGGATAACACAGGAGCTCCGGGAAGGGTTGATCGCAGATTCGAAGCCCAGCTGAGGTGTCGAGTTTCACTCATATCTTACATATTTGTAGTTGTATTTTACATCATGTCCTGCCACGAAAAATTGATAGACGCTAGATAAAAAGTTAAACGTCGTGACTCGCTTGATAGATCAGTAGACCTGCACAAGTCACGAGATATGTTAATGATGCATTTAGTCATCATTACGATGCTGCGAATGGAGTCGAATGCATGCAACATTGGCAAGAGATTGATCAACGCCATACGTCTTATTTTTATTGAATCTTTATTTTTATGAATTTTTTTGAATCTATGAATTTCTAAATCTCTCTAACTTCGAATCTATACTTCTTCTTTATGAATCGCATGGCACAGTAATATGATTTGGAACTTCTAAGCATATCATTAGCGGTTCGATCATCACTACAGCGTATGTCGTAAGGCCATAACCGCCATGTTCAGCACTGTAAAGGACACAGTGTGAAATAAAGTGCTGAAGAATAACATATGGAGTAGTCATTTATTACCAAACTACGGGGCTGTACTTAAGCATAGTTGGAGAATGTGATGTCTCCAGAACCGTTGTGTACCACTAATTTCCATCAATATAACGGTTTGAGAGAACCATCTATGGAAAGCTCATTTCAAAAAAGCATGAGTAAAAAATAAACTTAAGAAAAAAACTTGATAAAGTAAAAGGCAAAATGTATTCAACATACCTCACTTGATTGTGTCTTCTTATGCCGTCAACTTCATCGAAAATATTTTCTTTGTTTCACACTATGATTGCTAAGAATTAGATTAATACTAAAGATATAAAGGAGAATTTTTTAGTACTTTTTTCACAAACCTTTTAAACTAAACGAAAGTGCAAATTTTTTCATAGAGGGAAAAATATAATATTGGCAGTCTTATTACGGTGGAGAAAATTTCAGATTATTACTTCAGTTGTAATCTTAGAATAATTAGCTATGAGTTTCGAAGAAGCAGTACTCTAGGAAAGTAATTTTACGAAGTTGAGGTCTAATTGTACTTAAAAACCACCCAAACGTGGTATAAAAGGATAAAGGATAAAGCTGTCGGCGTTGATCAATCCCTGAGGGGATGCAGCATGCATTCGACTTCATTAAGCATCGTTGGAGGTGGTTGAATGCATATCTGGCCTTTACAATGGCTCGTGGTGGCCTACCGATGTATCGAGCCAGTGCTGCTATCCTCCCAGACAAGTCTGGTACCAATTTGCCGACCTCAGAGGGATGTAAGGATTGGTGGGCAATGGGCGTGGGAATCGATTCCATGTGTGTTGTTGGGCGCCTCCAACCACTGCGCCACACGCACCCTTTAACGTGGTATGTATATATATATATATATGTATAAATATGAGGTACATTGTACAAATCACTGCAATAGTGTCATAAATTGAATGATCATAGATTTGTAGCAGATAGAAATCAATATCGATCGATTAAGGTGACCCATATATGGGATTCTTCACACGATTACATTTTCATCAACTAACATGTATTCGTTCGTTAACGATTCACTGCCTAAAACCACTCACTGGTGCTGAAGAAATGTAAGTTTATACGGATATCGTTCAGCAGCCTCAATCGATACCCATATTTAACGAAGTGTATTGATTTTCAGTGATATTTTGTATTCTGAATGTGACCATAATCATTGGAAAGTCGTGCACTATGCGAACACTAAAGAAAAATTCGTGTTGAAATGGGTTCGTTTTTGTTAAGTGGTAATTGTGCTTTGAACGAACTCACCGAGTTTATCGATTCAAACTGATTTTTTTTCAGGAGGTGATCGCTCGGCAGTTATCGATTTCCAGTCGAGTTCTGTTATCAATTATTGACGTACAGGTGGAAACGTGTACTATTCACAACAACGCCAAGTACTCTTTGTGAGTTCCAGAATAAAACTGATATATGGTTTGATCGGTTGGTGAACGATTGGAATAAATCCGATCTGAACGAAGCTGACAACTTATCGATCCAACTATCGATTTTCGAAAGCAATTTTTATAACCTCTGAAATTGCTAAGAATTATGTTTGGGTATTCAAACACTCAAACACTGGAAGTTCGCTTTACGTGCGTCATTCATCTCAAAACAGTGGCTTTTTGAGAAGCCTCAGTTACTACATGTTTTTACTCTCTCGCACTCCCTACTTTACTCGCTCAGTACCTTTACTCTTTTGCTTTTCCACTGTAAGATAATACAGTGACTATTCCATCAATATTTTCTCAAATTAAAGTGTAGTAAATACGAAGTCCGTAGGCCCAAAATTTTCACTGTTGAGACCTCGACCTCTGTTGGTTTTCTTTACAGCTTTAAAAGCTTTCATGCTAGTAGTAATATCCTTATTTTCACAGGAATATTTTCTATGCACGCACGTTTAGAAGTTCTTGGTTCTCACTTTCATTTTTCAGCCGTCATACTGTAGAATTATTGATTTTTTGCTCTACGAATGCTGCAGCCTCTTTCCTTATGTCGGAGTTTTTCATGCATAATTTTATGGAAAGATTTACAACGGTGGATAAGAGGCTTTGTGTTTACACAAAGTGCATAGCATATAGATAAAAAAGAACGACGTTTCCCTCTTGAAAGTCGATAAGATGTATGACGGACCGTTTTGAAAATATAGTAGGGCACAGGTCCATTTTTGGTAGTGCTGGTTGAACAACAGCTAAAATGCTTAGGAACACTATAATCAAGGATCTCGTAGTAGCTCAAATGGGGTTTTGTTTTTCTCTTGTTATTGGAACGTCCTAATAGATTTTCACGTATCTGGACAAGGGAGGTCTTCTTTAACATCCAAAGGTTGAGTAGTTCTTTACCTAAATAATCCTGCTTAGCGTGAAACTTTTACCGTACACATCTTTTTGATAGCCGGCATCATTTTCCACTTCTGAGGCGCTACACTTTTGAATAAGAGTTATCACAAATAAATGGTCAGTATAAGTTCTTCAGATTGCCCACAGATTGTTGGAATCTGAAAGATGAACACAAATTTTTGATGATTTTTGATGTTTAGCAATCCATGCCATCGGCCACGCGTGCATCAACGACACCACGACATCAGCCAGCAGTCTGTTCACGCTAAAGAAGTTGCTCATCCACGACATAAACGGTATATTTCCAGAAAAAAAGTTTGTATAGCACTTTATATTTGAACCTAAAGATTTGGCTCACTTTATATAAAGGTGATTTGCTAAGAAAAATACTGTTTCGAAATCCACGTTTGAGTGCTCTATAAGGAATTGAGCCATGGCAGTCAGGCAGTTTTTGTGAATGAAGTAGTCATCCGGTACTAATCGTGAAAATCTTAGTGATTTACAACAGCGATTTACTTATGGATTCCTCCATTGTCACTTGCTATTATTCTTGTGGGCATTTTTTTAACATCGTAACAATTTTTTTTCTTATTACTATTTTATTTCTTGGATGTTGTGAATCGCAGTGCGTATATTCCATTCAATACATGCATTGTTAGTTAATTAACCCGTATGGTGCTAACTAAGCCTCGCATCGCTCGGAAATCGAGAAATTGACAAAAGCGTTTTTCCGAAAAAGTCCGGCTATCCTAGACTTCCAGGTAGAATCGACTTGAGCTATTTTAACAATGTTCGTGATGAAAACAAGGTCCTTAAGAGCAGTTGAGTCCATGCGCAAATTGGAATAATCTTCATAGCGTATGCTAGACAACGAATGAAAGAAGTGAGGAGAAAGCACAATATTTGAAGTCGGATCATGTGTAAAAATTAAAAAATAGAATTTAGAGACTTAGTTACCTAGGTTTCAGGATCGTAGTGCCCTCTAGAGTGGAAAATCGCGAGCATTAAAATTGAACATAGCGATACAATTTACCGTAGCCGTTTTGCAGATCGACTGACTACGTTTTGCCAGCAGTTTATCGAACTGTTGCATCACCGTACGATATTCCAGTCGATGTGGTGATTCCTGAAAATCAAACGGTAGTCATTCAACCAGGTGTCACACTTCGGTTTAGCAAGAACGCCGGTTTCACTGTGCGAGGTTGGTCTAGACGTGTTTTACTTTGTCTTTCTTCTTCTACTTCTAATTGTTTTCTTTGTTTCTTATGTTTGGATTTATATTATAACAATTTAGTCGTTATCACACTTTCTCAAAAATACGCTCTATTTCTCTAGTTTCTTAGACAGACACCACTTCACAAAGCAACAGTAAAGTCCTCATTCGTCTCTGTCATATGCAAGAGTTGCCTAATGGGTTTTGCTTACTCTAATCAGAAGAGCACCATTTTCTTCAAGGGACTACGTGAAGATTACCCATGCAATTTATGGTCTTGCTGTTGTTGTCTAGGCATTCCATGGGATCCCGCAGCACCGGATTTTGTGAATCAATTTTACTCGAAGATACATCTAGGAACTAGTGAAGTAGAGAAAGTTCATAAAGTCAAGATTGTGAGTAAAGAGTTGGTTGTCGTTTATGCCCGGGCCATTTCTTCGATGTTCTTTTTTACCTTACATGTTGCTTGTTCGCTTCTGCTCTCGTGTTCATCGCTCGGCATGCTGACTTCTGGACCCGGCTCCACATAGTTGGATAATTCAAATGTCATTGGTTTGAATGTGAATGGTTCATCAGAAACAAATCCATTTGCCATAAACGACGCCTACATTATGTTAAACCAATGACCAACTTTCTTGCTCATATAGTTGAAATTAGACAGAATTCGTTCGGCCTAGGTAACGTTTGGTTTTGTGAGAACGATTTTGCCAGTAAAGCGAAGATGCCGCAACTGCCGAGTATCGGATTTCACTCTCATATCATCCAATTTCAATGTTCACATGGTCTTTTCGAGAGCTTTCCTCGATCCCTGACTTTCAGTTGTCTTTGTATAATGGCGAAATTTTGGTTGTGCGATTGTTGTGTAATTCATTCACAAGAATTCACTACGTAACGATTAGACCCTTTAATGCCTCTCATTGCCCAATGGCTACTAATGTTTTGGTCTTATAGAAGAGAAACTTCTAAATCGACCAGTTATGGTTACGGCACTTTTACATTCTTATTGCTTAATTAAGCTTTGTAATCGTGTCAGTATGGTCCAGGAATAGTTTCACAAACTATGTTTGCTAGCAAAGCGTTGTCCCTCTTCTAATTTTACGTGAACAATGATGACTCAGATAAGAGAATGGTAGACTATAAGCACCATACAGTTTCGGCAGTAGTCGTTGTCGTGTAGGATTCCCATCTTCTACACCAACACGCTATTTGTGAGTTTCCATTTATTATGAACAGTGTATTCCAACTGGCAACGTGGAAAAGTCGTACCCATGAATGGATGTGACCTGGTGGAAGGTTGTTTAGATACTTGAAGCCAATCATTTCGAAACTCGGTGGTGTAAAATTTCTTATAGACGAAGCTGATATGAAATGCTGAGATACCTGCAAAACTCCGGACCACAGGTGTATGCAATGGAGAAGGAACACGCGCTATTGTCCTTACCGGGGAGCAGCGCACCTCACCACTACACCATCCGGGGGTCCTTCGCTTTGCATGTTTCTCAGCTAGTTCTATCGATCTTTTTTTGCCATCAGCAATCACCCGTCAACGGGATTGATCTGGGGAGCCAATATCGGCATTGAACCCAGTTAAGCTGAGGCTTAGTTATAATCACAATCTTAACTCTTTTATTTACTGCCTTTTTCTTCTTAATGGCAGGGTATGTTGCGAAATATAACGCGAAATATCTTTTTGCAAATATCTCAGCACTTCATACGAGTTATATTTCGCAACATACCCTGCCATTAAGAAGAAAAAGGCAGTAAATAAAAGAGTTAAGACGAAGCTGATATCAAATGTGGATAGTGAGAGAGGCTTTTTTAAGGACACATAAGGCTGATGTCCTTTTCATTCACCTCCTTGCTGCGTGGCTGCTCTAAGGAAACGATGTGTGAATAATTAATAACCTACTCCATTGCTTTTTTGCGGTGAATAGTCACTGTTTCGTTAGGAAGTGGGAACTCGCTTATCGTAGCCATAAGAATGGCTAAATCACGGCCATATTGCTGAATTCCTTCTCATCTCTGCATTTTCAACCTTACCGCTTCCTTTGTTCCCGTTTTTTTTCTTGGAACTATATAGGCTTGGGCACAAGTTAATAGTGGGGCACACATCACTGAGCTTCACGCTGGTAAAATTACACGCAAGGTCGATGCTTCGGTTCAACAACATGAGTTAACCAAGCTCTTCGGCCCTCCAGGGTCGGCAGTTTGTTAACAAACTTATTTCAGTGGATATAACACTGACTTGCTACGTCGATAGGCCTAGCAAATCACTTTATTGGCCAAATGTGAATTTAAGCACCTTTGTGTTGCTTCGAGCGAAGTTCAGTGCATAGTGGACCTTTATGGGACTGATCAACGCCAAACACTTAATCCTTTATCGGCTTTAAGTATGCCCGCTAGCCATAGCAGAAACAGTGCTTACCTTCTGAGCTTACGTCTACTTCTCGGTAAAGTACGTGGTCGTCCCCTCCTTTGACTTCCTTCATGTTATTCAATAATGAGGTGAGAGGTAAAGGAACACGCAAAGAAGATACAAGGTAACTTGGCAACTATTTGGTACGGGAGAAGATCGTTTCCTCCCATTACAGAGATGTATAAGTTTTTCTAATGTGAAATTAACGGTATCGAACGAGTACTTACGTTACTGATTATGTGAAAATACTGGAAAATGGAGAACTTCATAGAAATTTCGAGAATTTCAATCCTCAACATGGTAAAAAAGTGGAAGCATCGTCTTTTTGTCTACAGTACCTCTCCCGATTTTCTTTCTTCATGATAAACTCGTGAAAATCGTTCTTGCTATTGTAGGTGTTCTCATTGTTAATGGTACCAAGGCTGCTCCAATCACATTCGAACCGCAAATCGACCAATGGAAAGGAATTGAAATTATAAACGGTACATGGATCTTTGAGGAAAAAAACCACCGAAAATCGTGCGATCAAATTTGTTACAGTTTTTTAAGACGAAAGCAGAGGATTAAAATTTATTGCCTATTTATTGAACTAGGCTTTGCTTAGTATTCAATTCTTTTATATTTTTATGCTTATAATGTTCTTTTGGAGCGTGTGGGGCAGCGGTCGGAGGCGCCCTGCAACACACAAATGGGATCGATCTCCACGCTTTTGGCTCACCAAGCCTTCTATCCTTCTGGAGTTGGCACCAGACTTGTCTGGGAGGATACTAGCGCTGTCTCGATACATCGATGGCTGTGCTGTCGCGAGTTATTGTAGATGCCAGATATGCATTAAACCATCTCCAAACGATGCTTGATGAAGTCGAATGTATGGCGCTTCCCTGAGGGATTGATCAACGCTGAGAGCTTTATCTTTTTTTTATCCTTTATAATGTTCTTTTAGAACGAATTACAGCAGAATTTCCTGGTAGAACTTCACTATTTCAAAATTGAATGTAGTACCACAGATTTTTCTTTTACATAGATATCATAAATTTTTTTTTACAAATCATAGAAGGGACAAATCTTTTTGTTTGCATTTTTTTGAATTCTGATGTCTGTTAAAGTAAATTTATTTAACGATGATTGTTTGTTTAAAAAGTTGCAAAGGTTTGTTCCTTGTTGTTTTTTTTTTACTTGATGCAACTTTATCTCCATTAAAATAATTTTCTTCTATTGTTTTCGTGTTGAAACTTTCACATCGGTAAATGATGTGAGTCCAGAACTCTGAACAGAACTTCTTTAGCGTCGTTACCGTCAAGATTCTCGTTCGCTAATGTTAGCGGCAGTTCCATGGGTATCACACTAAGAAGTGGTGTCCCGCCATCGATCGATAACGTAATATCCGAATGGAATCAGTATGGCTTCGACTTTCAGGTCTGTATTGATTATTGTGATTTAATAGTGACTGGTCACGTTTTTGGGAAAATACGTCTGGTACAGGTGAAGGTGGGTAGAAGGGTTGCGCCGCAGTTAATGGTGTCCTACATCAATTACTGGTTTGACCTCGCACTATGGGATTAGACTTATCTGGAAATATGAGAGTGCTGTATATCGGTTGCCCACCTTGTTCTGCAGGCCAGATGTGTGTTCTGTAAATTCCACGATACATAATTAAGTTGAATGTGCATGGTGCATCCTTCAAAGATTGATTGACACCGAACCCTTTGTCATTTTTTATCCGTATTCTACGGTATGCCGTCGGCATAACTCCTCCATGACGCTTTGAGCCAAATGGCAAGTAGGATGATAACTACTTTCTCGAAAATCTTTTAAATGACGAGTAACTGATATATGATTGGTTTTATCAGAATTTGTTCCATGATTTTGTAAGGCGTTTACACAATTTTAAAGAAAGCACTTCGTATTTACAGGTTTGTCTTTCATAATTATGCAACAAAATTACAAAAAGAATCCACAGTTTTTAATTGCTACCGCAATGGCCTTGATGGTGCAGTGGGTAACACATGGGCTCTCGGAAAAGGTAATCGCGGGTTCAAATCTGGAGTCGGGTCCAAGCTTTGCAAATATATCAAAAACATTGTGATTCTGAGATAACCACAATGGCGCTGAGATATTTATTTACAAAACTCCGGACCGCAGGTGTCTGCGCTGTGGAACGAACGGACTATTGTCCTTCCCGGGGAGTAACGCCCTCAGCACCACACCATACGGGTCCTTCGTTTCGCATGTCTCTCAGCGAGTTCTACCGGTTACAACAATTCACAAATAATACCCTACCATGAAAACTTGTAAAAGGCAGTAAATAGAAAGTGAACATTGTGAATTTCATCTATGGCCTCAGCTTAACTGGGTTCAGTGCTGATTGGGGTTCCCCAGATCAATCCCGTTTACAGGTGATTGCTGATGGCAGTGTTCGATAGAAGTAACTGAGAGACAGGCGAAGCGAAGGACCCACATGGTGTGGTAGTGAACGCGTTACTCGCCGGAACAATAGCGTGTTCGTTCTCCACCGCAGATACCTGCGGTCCGGAGTTTTGCAAATATCTCAACGCCATTATGGTTATATTTTACGTACTATCCTGCCATTGAAAAAAATAGGCAGTAAGTAAAAAGTGACGAAATTTTTTCAAAATCGTTGTAATTTCACAGTTGTTCTGCTTTTTTGTACAACTTGGCTGATCACAGACACAACTACACTGCTTAAAGAATAAACGAAAGAGTATTGGGCGCTTACTATTTCTTTGGAAATGAGTCGTGCATTTGCGTTCGTTGTTCAGCTTAGAGATGATTAGAGGCATATTTATCTTTTACAATAACTTTCAGTGACTACCTGGTCAACCAATTCCGTATTTTTTATTCTACCAGACTAGTACCAAACCTGTTGCCAATTTCGCGGCATCGGAGCAATGGAAAGCTTAGTTGACTCCTGGCGCGGGGTTTGATTTAAGAGTGCATTTGTATTTCAAAGCACCTGAAACCACTGGACTTCCACTGTATCGCCTAGTCAATGAGCACGAGTGTTAGCCATTTATTTCATGGCCACCTTAACTGATTAGCTGATAATTTAATATAGTAACTGAAAGGAACGTTCTTTTCAGACCATCGCCAGTGTACACATCGTATCGTCAGCGGCGCTGAACAATGAAAAAGACGGATTTCGAATACGAACAAAGGTAGATCGCTCTGGAAATACATGATATAATATGATGACCACGCGAGCAGTACTGGTATTGCACACATTAAGCTCACCAGCATTGTGTACGTCCACTCACCAGAGATAAAGAGCACGCATCACAGACGAGCGAATACACACATATGTATATATATCTGTATAGATATACATACTGACATGCCTCTAATTTTTTCGACTACTGTATTGTCTGCACATATGATGTCTAGTATACAATGTTACTGCACTCTAAATAAATTGTTCTGTGGTTGTGTGACACATTTATTACTGTAGGATAGGTGATGTACCCATGGTATGCTGTCCGTTAACAAATTGACGACAATGTGAGCCAAATAAGAGTCATATTTTTTGCATCGCTTATTTTTTCAAATTTTGAAAAACAAGGTGGAAGTCTGGTAAGAGAACCAAGATAAAGTAAAACGATGTTTGAAAAGTACTTTGTCGCCAATGTGTTAGTGATCGTTTCACGGATAATAGCACTTGCAAGTTTGAAAAGCAAGTTAAATCGAGGGATTGGACTCGTATAGGTAGAAAGTGGTAGAAATTTCGATTAGAACCTCGAAATAGCATTTTGTGGCAATGTTTTGGTTCGCACAAGAGAATTCATTGATTGATACCTTCTATATGGAACATCGATAGAATTTAGTTGTACAGTACCATCAGAAATTTTGTCTAGTAATATGGTCCATCTTCAAAACGAGTTATCTCGTATTTCATCAATTCAACGCAACCGTATCTAACCTTTTTTGGTTCAAATTGGTAACGCTGACATCGCCAAAATATAAGATATTTTGAAACCCATTGTTTTAATAACCAGTTATATTTTGTTAAGTGTTATTAAAAGAAGAACTGTGAACACTTTACATAATGTCATACCTTTTTATTTTCTGCCTACTATAATTTCGCGGTAGGGTACTAAGCGAAATACGACCACAACGTTGCTGAGATATTTGCAAAACTCTGGACCGCAGCTGTCTATGTTGGGGAACGAACACGCTATTGTCCTTTCCGGGGAGTAACGTGTTCACCACCACACCATGCAGGCCCTTCGTTTGGCCTGTCTCTCAGTTAGTTCTATCGATCTTTGCCACAGCAATCATCCGTCAGCGGGATTGACTTTACATAATATTTACTTCACTAAAACAGCACTTGTGCGAAAAAAAACAGCTGGAGGATTCAATTACACCTACTGACTTGAGTGATTGGGTGGAGCACGAGAACTTGTGATACCAGCAGTATTTTCATTTTACTGGTAATTCATTGGTTGTACAAGATTTTCCTTCCCTCGATTCTAGAGATAACCATGTCAAAGCTTTCTCAAACAGAAGTAGTCGCCGATGTTCGTGAATCTGAAGGACGGTTGCCATCTTGCGAAGAAATGGGGTGCTACCTAGACGGCAGGGATTTGTAGCGCTGATTTACTTCTTACTGGGCTACCGGGTAGAAACGTTGAGCTTCTTTTCAGTTGGAACACTCCGTTGGCGAGTTAAACACTCGCTGTACACCGCAGTTCGATGCCAAGAAAAATCGCTCAGACCAGGCCGTCAACCATTGAGAATAATTTATGATCGATAATAGATTGAGGACGCGCATATGGACAAATCTCTTAGGATTCTATGAACTAACATCTAATACCACGTAATTTAAATTTAGTATGTTTAGTTATAACGAAAGAACACATTAGTAAGCAGATTAAATATGTGATCAGGGGCATGCATGAACTGGATGGAGGGAGTAAAAAAAAGAAGCAAAAGTGAAAAAAGAAATAGGAACAGAAAAAGGTGACCGGCAGGTGGTGACAATTGTTCACTGATTGCACACGAAGACACTCAAATGGCTGAAAAAACTAAATACTAATGAAATTGTGGGAGCGCGTTTAGCGCTTTAGTTAGAAGTGCCTTGCATTATGAGAGCGATCCCTGTGGGCTCACAAAGCTTTCCGTAACAAGTGTCGGAAAATTGGTGGCAGACATGTCTAGGTAGGTTGTTGTTAGGCCACTACAATTCACTGTATTTTTTATTTTACACTTTATTATTTTTTTATTTTACATTTTTTTACATTTTTACATTATATTTTTTTTATTTTACATTTTACCTTTATCGCATCTGCTGTGTGGACCCTAGCACTTCTTGCTTTGGATTCGTTTCCTCGCAACCAATATCCGAAATAGTCTTCGAACCTTTCGCGAGTTGTCTCAGCTGCTGCTTAGCGGATTTCGTCTTCTTTATGAACGTCGTAGAATGTTGATCGAGTCAAATCACCTTGCAATTTCGAAGGTACTCGGACTAAGGTGTCTCCACGTGGATTGGAGGAGAGCGTTGAGGAGGGGATCGAAGTAGCACCTTTGGTTTCTTATCGACGACATCACTAGCCACTGCGCTATCTTCGACCCTCAAGTTTTGTGTGGGTCAGAATCGTTTAGTCCTACGATGCTTGATGAAGTCAAATGCACGACGTATTGCTTAAGGATTTATCAGCTCAGGGAGTATTACTGCTTATTCTTCTGTCAGTACCATGGATACCGTGCCATTTTGTACGGTCGAATACTAACACAATGGCAAAATGGTGTATCGAAGACTGGTTAGATCTCTGATCCTATGCTCCTCAACCTTTATAACCCTCTGTGGTTGGCAAATTGGCCTACATGGGAGGATAGCAGCATATACATGAGATATCGGTAAGCGACCGCAAGTCATTTTATAGGCAAAACATGCACTCAGTCACTCATACAATGTTACAAGTGGAATCGAATGCTTGGTGCATCCCTCAGGGATTGGTAAAGGTTGGGAACTCCATCCCTTTATCATGTAGGAGAAACTCAAGTAAATTTAAGTACCCATTTAGGCATTAAAAATCTTAAGTAGAGCTCCGGTGATGTGAAATCAAGAAGAAGTTACAGTGGAAATACAAAGGGATTTAGAACTTTTAAGGTTTGGGCTTGAAAGAACAAAACCTTACAATACACCTTTTCTTCATCACTTATGTTCTTACTGATTTTGTTCACAACAATATTTTATGGACGTTCACAACTTTGTCTTCAGTTTATTGATTTTTTATGACGCTATGTACAAAAAAACAAGAATATGTTGGTAATTGGTAAAAACGCTCTGTGAATCGACGCTGGTCCAATAGTGAAACTAAAGTAGTTTAAAAGGAAATAAAGAGAAAAAAAGAAAAAGTCAACGAAAGGAAAAAAGAGAGAAAAAATAGAAGAAAAGTAGTCAAATTCGGGACAGACTTTATATTTAAAAAAAAACTCTTGAAATGTCAAAACTGCGCACTTTATTAAGCCGTCCACTTCGTTAACTGTGCCCTTGATGGTAGCGTAGGAGATTGTGGAAGTCAATACGCGCGTCTTTGCGTCGCGAAGTACTAAGTATTATTGAATTCTATCAGAACTAAATATGTGCCTACGATATATCTAGTAGTCATTAATAAATAAGATGTGAATGTTGGTTAAGTTGCCTTCAGAGCATCTATTCGCCAATATTTCCAACGGATGTCCAAAAAGTAGATCAATGCTAAGAAATATAGCCCAACTAGAAAAATTTAGTCGCAACTTGGTAAAGCCACTTTCATTCCAAAGAGGATAAAAGCAAGGTGACTTATCCGTGTTGACGACCTAGGAGCTCCTTGTTCGACCACCTCTCGACGCCACAGAACAGAGCTTGCTCAATAGCTATAGTGTGAATAAGGTTTTAGTTCCTTCGGAGCCTGCGCACCTTTCTCAAAAGTATTTTACTCAATTACCCTTCTCCAGATATTTTTTATCATTTTGGAAAGACCTGTTGAAATTCTCAGCTTTCTCAACAGTTGACATTCTTGTTAAAACTTCGTGGCCACTGGATGGATCTATCGTCTTTTTGAATAGTTCTAGAAATATCTGTAATCAATAAGATAGGTCTGAAAATATAATTTCCAGTTTTACTAACAGTATCGATCTTTTCCTCTAGTATATGAACAACCAAGAAGAAACTTTGTGAATACTTAAAAAAAACCCTTTTTTAAAGTTTATATTATTGCAAGTTTTCTATCGTTGTTCTAGTATTGCATTGGTTCCGTGGTTGATCACTTGTAATTGTAAGACTGTACAAAACTACTTAAAAGGCACGTACCAGTTGGATTTCGTGTCCAATTTGATTCATCGTCAGGGTGATGTACTGCTTGAGTCTTGTGTGTCGGCATCTAATCATCGGGACGGATTCCATCTGAATGTGGCCGGCAACGTCAACGTTCTGGACTCACATTCGATTTCTAATGGTCAGCATGGATTCATTCTTTCGGAGACATCGTCTTCTGTGTTCATCCAACAAGCAATGGCCAGTTCTAATGCTGGTAATGGAATTCGATTCGATGACCTACGAGTCGGACGATCACTCGTCAAGGTGGGCGGAGCTTCATGATCATGCCGTTTTTTCCTTTCACTTCAGTGTTTTCTTTTACTTTCCTCTTTGCCCTTATTCGTACACTTTCGATTTAGTCTACTTAGCCAATTTTCGACGTTTCTTCTCATATTTTTTGTTTTTTTCTTATTTCAGCTTAATAATGTTAGTGTCACCGATCACTATCATGTGGCCGGTATTTCCTTCCAAGACGCCTCCGATATGCATCTGGAGATGAACCACTGCTTTATCGAAGAAAATTATAATTTAGGTCTTTCGTTTGACGGTATCACTGCGAACAGCTCGGTAAGTAACTTTCCATAAAAATTCTAATACATTTAACTCTTTTTTCCGTTAAACGGCCAACTTCCGTGTGGCGAAACAGTTAATTACAAGCCGAAATTTAGTTGTTCGTCGTTAAGTTGTTTAACAATAGATGTATATACTTTTCAAATTGTTTATTTTAACGTCTTTATCTTTTTCACAGCCGATTGATTCAAGTCGACTGGTGACAGCCGCTCGTCTTGGCTTGCGGGTCTTCGTAGTCGTATGATGACGAATCTTCTGCAATGAAGTACCGTTCAAATTCAAATCACCAAATTCTTGATTTAAGTGGTACTCCACTGAAGAGGATTCGACTCTATAGTCGCAACATCGAGAAGATGGACAACAGTGGACCATCGACTCGGATCATCGGCTTTGAGGAAGACAAAGATGTCGAAACGTTAGCCAAAAAAACCTCTCTATAAGAACTTAGTGGGAGCTGAGCAATTTTAAAGGCATATTGATCATTTACGCCGATCCTAAATGATGGCCCGTTTTTAAAAGATAAATGTGTAGTTTTTTAATCATTTTCAGCGATTAATAGCATATTTGCAAGGTCACGTAAGTAAATTAATAAATTCCACTATCACATTTTTACACCAAATCTGATTCCTGGCTACCAACTTCAAAATTGAAAGAAATTAGCGGGTAACGCAGTGATAGTGGAGAGGCTATCACAGGCACGGTAGTAGCTCGATCTCGCCTTCGGCTCACTAAGTCTGTCAACCATCGGGGCTCAGGAAATTGGTATCAGACTAGTGTGAAAGCAGAGAGCTCTACTCAGTCCAACTGAGAACGCTCTAGCTCGTCTATCTCACTTCAGGGGAATCCTTCAGGACAACTGCTATAAGAATCGACTCGATCAGTATTCAATAATATTCTTATTAATGAAGATGCCAGTCCTCAAAAAGCAGGGAATCCAGACGTTTAAGGTTGGAAAACTTTCGTGGATGGTGGACGCAAAGAAAATAATGGAATCAGAGAAGTCGTGTGATGTGCACAGAAGATGTGATGATGGGTCATGTAAAAATAAATTAAAAAAAACTCCAAAACTTTTAGGTAGGACTATATTAAATTAAGAGCCACGAGATTTTGAGCCAGTGACAATTCTTTCTCTGGGAAAACGATTGTTTGTAAATTTTTATTGAAACCTTTATTAGAGAACTTCCAGGGCTTCGAGCAATGTTTCAGTAGGTGATGTACATCGTTCAGATTCATATCGTCGACTCGAATTTCACAAGGAATCGCGGTTCTACGATTCTCATGTCACTTCTTCGCGACGTAGATGTCAAACTTCATAGAAACACCTTCATTGCTAATAATCTAAATGATTTTGACCAACATGAAGCCGTCATCGACATCGCCACGTTTGCGGAAAGGAGAGGTAGGTATTTCTCACCAAAATAAATGTAGTCGATTACTACTGATCATCGCTTTTAGTTAGAAGCGGTATGGAATCCAGATGAACATCTCCAGAAAAAAGAACATTCACTAATTTCAACGAAAAGAATCCGAACACTTCGGATCCTCTGAAAGCGTCTCAAAAAGCGTTTATAGTTTGCTGAATAGTTATAATTTTATTGAATAGGATGCACTTAGAAAAGCACGTGCAGCGCAGTGGTTAGAGGTGCGCTGCAGCATGCGTAGGTCTATGGTTTGATCTCGTCCGAGGACAAAATAAGTTCCCTTTTGACTCGGAAATCTGCTACAAGACTCGCCTGAAAGTGTAAAAAGGCACTCCATGCAATGGTTTCCCTCCAGAAGTTACCGTGAAGGAGAAATATGCATTTCGTCATTTTTGCGAAAGTGAATGAATTTCAACGGATGGAGCATAGAATTGATCAACACTAGGTGCTTTACCCGTTCTCCTTTTAGTGCATTGAGAAGAAGATGAAAACAAGGGTGGTTGAATGCTAACAGTGTTGTTCGTTTGCGAAGATAAATTGGAAACAATAAGTCAGTGACAAAACTCGACGTGAAGAATTAAAAATTAAAGCTTTTTCTTGTAAAAAAAATCAATGAAACCTTTCCTATTGATCAAGGCTGAGCTAGGGAAAAACTCGTTCTAGGCACTTAGTACAAGTTGAATTGCATTGTTTGATTTTCCGCAGATCTTAGCTTCTTAATCACACGATTCGTCTAAGCAGTCAGAGCAAAAATCCCTGCACTCACTAAAAGAAGCTTTCTCATAGAACCAGAATGCTATAAACGCGATGGCGCCTTGAAGAACACTTCCCAACCAATGAATTATTTCATAAACAACATTAAAACATGTATTTTTTCATCTATACAGATTCTCGAATTCGTATCGAAGGCAACCATTTCGAACAGAATTCCATGAAAAACGTGCTGATAGTTCGTCAACTTGGAGGTAATTCTTGAATTTCTCTACAGTACTACTCGGTGTTACGAAAGTTCCTGTTGAATAGAGCGAACACTAGGCTGCATGCGGTACTAGCTTACCCTCTAAGTGAAAAATTGTTTCCCTGAAGAAGAAGTCGGGAACAAAGTTACTGCTTATGTTAATGAGATCTCATGTTGACAAAATAGACTACGTGAATGACTTGACCCTATTGGGCCAAATTGTATGTATTGTGAAATTTTACAATCTAGAAGATGTGCTATTATTTCCTCTGCTTAAACTTAGAAGTTCGTCTCATCAATCAATTTTGTTATCAAAGTTTCACAGAAAACATAAGCCAAATAATTCTACCCGATATTATTAAGGTTATACGGTTCAAGTATTGATCACGAAGAACAACTTCATTGCCAATCTCGCCCAATCGACAATTGATTTAGATGTGCCACAAGGAGAAATCAAAGGAAATTATTTCAGCAATGTACAGGTATGGACTTAATATCCTTAGAATACTTAGAAGATAGTTAACAATAATTAAATTATAAGAAGTAAAATAGACGACATGAAAAGACTTATGTAATAGATGCAGCTGGTTGATTAAAAATGGACAAATTGAAATTTATCTCAGTGGTACAGAAACTTATCGCGGTGGGTTGACGTTGAGGATCTTCTTTCTGGAAGGGTTTGAACTCATATAAGGCTGCCAAACTATGATAGACGAGTTCAACATTTTCTTCAAGAAAGCTCAGCTAGGAGTCAAGGTTAGACGGAATTTTCAAGATTCACCGTCTTCCTGGTGGGAAAGTAGTTGCAAGATGGAAAATCTGGTCTAGATCGACAAGATAACGGCGAATGCCTAGAATGTGAAGAATTAAGGCAACCTTGTCAGGCTATGCCGAGACTGTATGGAAATAGCGTCTTTCAAAGGAGAAAAAAGCATTGAAAAATTCTATGAAAGCAGATAGATACTAGTTAAAGGGAAATTGTGTTAGGTATTGCACATTCGACGGGCCGTACCTCTAAATGCAAAACATTGAACATGAAACATTCTGACTTGTATAGACTGTATAGACTTGTATAAATATCGTACATATTGTAGACTTGTAGACGGAGATTTAGTACGTTTGGAAACATTTTAGTCCACTTGTGACATCACACGAATTTCATCAATGAGTGCCGACGCTGTTGAGAACTATTGGGCTCACGAAACGGACGCCGAGGTGATGGCCATCGCTAAGTTTTTCTAAAGACGACTTTAAAAAACAAAAAGGAAAGATAGCAAATAATTTCTTAGCCATTTAATGACACTAAGTGAAATTAATGGATAGTTCAAATTATAAGAAATAACTTTTCGTCGGCGCGGTTGTGGCCCTTTATTTTGAACTTTTTAAACGCTAATATTTAAAAATATTGATTTTTTGCTCGCTTTTTCCCATAGAGTTTATCATTAATTTACCAATTACTATTGTCCTTGCTATCGTTGTCATGATCATTGCGTATTCTTCCACCGATGAGCTAAAGCGAAGTTGACAGAAAGCTTTATTGCGTCGAACTATTTTTTATTATTGTTGAATAAAATTTTTGTCAACCTCGTGTTAGCTTATCAAGGAAAGGATACATATTGATTAGTCATTGCGAGGTTGAAGGAAAGTCGATTTTTAAAGCACGTTATTATTGTTATCACTATTATTTTCACTATTATTATTATTGTCGTTAGTATTATTATTTAATCTTCAGTACCGGCCGAGAATTTGTACACCGAGTCACGCAAGCTATGAGATTTATGAAGAGGATTCGACTAAGCAGAAAACGATCCAGAACTCCAGTAGTAGTCGAGATCCAGTGGATGTGATTGCCGTGGGAACGATGAGAACTCCTAGGGAACGATGGGCGATGGAACAGGAGATGACCAAGAGAATTAGTTCCTTTAATAACTCGTCGACATTGAGACCTTTCTCGAACACCTACAATCAGGTGAAGGCAATTCCACAACCGTACGGGTAAGCCATTCGTTTGAGGTACTAATTCTTTTCTTATTGCTTCCAGGTGAGTCTATCCTTATGTAGTGCTTGCGCACTATCGCCGACTTAGAAGCTATCGTGAAGATTTCCTAAACTCCTTTAGAGTTTACTAGCACGTTCATCTCTGGCGTTTAATGATATTGTAGTAGTTAGTCACATCATAACAACCTACTAACTGGAATCTCCTGTTTTGCATAAAAAAAAAACAGAAAAATAGAAGAAATTAGAGAGGAAAATGAAGATAAAGAATGTAAAAAATGAGAACGAACAGCTTTTAAAAATTCATCATAGACGGCTGCATCCGATTGTAGGAAACCCTCCTAAATCTGTTTTGTAGCTTAACTTCTATTCCATTCCTAAGTTTCAAGCACTGACTTTTTTTTCGCTTCAGCATTGGTTCGGAAGTTGCTATACAACCTGGACAAATCGTCATTGTCGATCCTGGCAGTGAATTCGAATTTGCTCCAGGTATCGGCTTAACTGTTCAGGATAAAGGTATGTGAAGGAGAGATCGTTATTGGAACACCACCAAATGGCTACTCCATCGTATTTCTCGGAATTTAACAAAGATCTTAGTGTACTTCCAGGTAAACTATATCTGAACGGTACAGTGGACAAACCAATTCTTCTATTTGGTGAGTCCATGTGGAGAGGATTAATTATCAAACCAGGTGAATTGACTGGAGATCCTCCAATTCCTTTCCTCTTTTTAATACTGATAGCGTAGTCTGCGTACAAGTTGATCACAATCTTTAATGATTTGGGCGGAACTCTCGTATTGAGCCATACAATCATAAAAGACGCTTCGATTGGTATATGGATCGATTCCGAGAAGGTTCATGTGGAAAGTGCTAGAATTGCCGATTCGGTGGTAAGATGGCTTTCTGACAAATTATTTGGTAAAAAATGAAATCGATTAGAAGGACATATTTCATAATCATCGGTTGCCTAACTCAGTGGAAAGCCGGAGTGCACTAGGCTTCAATCAAAACGCTTACATTGTAGCAAATCTACATCTTCTTTAGGAAAAACTTAATACGACTAACATTTGTAATCATTTCACTTAGACAGTTATTACAACCACCGAACAAATTCCATGGCTTCTAAGAAATTTCTGGGAAGAAGCAGATTTTCGTCGAAGTCACAATATAGATGATGTACGAGAAATGTACATAGTTGAATTTTTGAGTTAGACATTTTTTGACACGTAATTTTCATTTGGATGGGATTTTTGTTATGTGGGAAGCATTCATTAGCTGTGGAATTAACGAGGAATGGATATAAATGCCGACTGATAGTGTCTATTTAGTCATTGTTTTCTTGGTGAGCAGGTACGAGTGCGTTAACAACAGGATTTATTAAATGCAATGCTAACGCTTTAGCTGTTTCACCTTCACAAGATTCGTTTCCTTCTTTTTAAGACTTCCAGGTATTTAGTGCAGACCAGCCGTATAGTCTTCCATAGGTCAGGATTATCATTCAGAAAGCGAAACCGCTTAAATGTCAGTCAGTATTGCAACAAGTAAAATGAACAATCTCGTGTTGGCTCATCAAAAAAGCTCTGAATTGTTTGAATTTTGAGGGTAATAGATCTTCAAAAGTGTCTACTTATCCTCTTCAGAACTCTGTTCAGGTACATGCCGTTGAAATCACGGAGAACGCAGGCACCGACATCGACTTAGGATATTCTGTGATCGAAAGGGCAAAAGGAACTGGAATCGGTGTCGACGAAAGGAAAAGCTCCTTAAGAATACGGTACGTCGCATACATGATTACACCACTTATTTCTGAAGAGTAAATTCACTCATGGCTTGTGTGACACACTGGTTCGAGATACTCTGCCATGCCATAAACACCTGGTCATTCATTCCATCACATGCCCAAAATAAACAGGGTCCATCATACATCCAGGGTCTACAAAGTGGTAACAATAAAAGCAGTACTTGATAGATCTATGGAGCCTTCACAAGCCATTGTATAGATCAAATATATACTCGATTCACTCTATGACGCTACGAATGGGGTCGAATGCATAACGCATCGCTAGGGAATCATCAATCCTGAATGTTTCACTCATTTATTTTCACACTTCGCCAATGAGATGAACATTAATATAAAACGTTATGCCGCTTGTCAATTGTTGAAATAGCGACGTTCTTATACGACTGACTGACTGACTTTGCTCTGCGCATTTTTTTCCAGAAATATCATTATTCGCGACGGATGGGGATCCGGAATCGATTTCGTGTCGCCGACTGGTGACATTCACATCGAAAACGTACTGGTAAGTCCATGCGTCGGATTTCAATCTGATAAACCGTGTATTCTTTAGAGACGTGTGTAGCGCAGTGGTTGGAGGTGCCCAGAAATACATAAGGGCTCGATCGACCTCCCCAGGCTCACCAAACCTTCCATTTGTCCAGGGTTGGTAAATTGTTACAGACTTCTCTGGAAGGACAGCACCGCTCACTCCATACATCGTTAGACCACCGCGAGTCATTGTCGAGCCAGTCGAGGCCAGATACGTAATAATTCACCGCTAGTGACCCTTGTTGAAGTTGAATGCACGGCCCATCCTTCAAGGATTGACCAACGCCGAAAACTTTATCCTTTAACCCTTGTTATGTATTATTTAATGGTGGCTGTTTACGTGTTTGCCTATTTATTACACATAGCTTTGGTTTAATATAGCATGATATCCTTAATAAAAGCAGAATCATCTCTAAGAGCAGAAAAATAGACACTATGGAATGATATCACAAGACATAGAATGAATTGGTCAAGAACACATCAGTATCTGCCTACAAAGACATAAAAAGGATAAAGATATAAGGAATAAGGATAAAGCTCTTGGCGTTGGTCAGTGCCTGAGGGAAGCGCCTTGCATTCGACTTCAATAAACATCGTTTGGAGGCGATATAATGCATATCTGGACTTTACAATTACTCACGGTGGCCTACTGATATGTCGGGCCAGTGCTGTTAACCCTCCAGAAAAGTCTGGTACCAATTTGCCGACTTCGGAGGGATGGAAGACTTGGTGGGCTATGGTCGCAAGAAATCATTCCACATGTGTGCTTCAGGGCGCCTCCGATCACTGGGCCTCACGCGCTCTACAGAAGCGTATATCAAGGTAAATCGAGTGTAGCGCGTATGAAGTATGGATCCTTGAAGATCTTCTAGAAGTAAGAATTCATTTAGATTGCCTAATCAGTACTGCTTCACCGTAACCTAACGTATTCGTCATAGTTGATCGTGCAAAGTAATCAGTTACAATACCACAATTCTTTGCTGTGTACACATGAAAAAGCGCGAAAAAAAATTAGGGAACAAAAGAAAGAAATAGGAAAGATGAAGAAAAAAGCGTTTTTAATACCACCAATGATGAATTTACTGCTCCAACGCTTTTAAATCCGTATTTGTGTGAATACCGCAGCATCATCCCTTGAAAATGATGGTGACGATCATTTCGATTCTTTAACTTATTTAGTGCTCCTTAAAGGTAATGGCGTTATCTCTTCGAAGTTCTTAAATTTTTATTATATCACCAAAACGTTCGCTATAGTCGTTACTTAAGAGACAATCTACTTAACTAAAGCATATTAAGGGGAAAGTCTTGGGAATCATCTTAGCATGTGCCGTCCATAATCTAGCACATTGGCTAACACCGAACTTTTAACGTTAGTTAGTAACCATAATGTGTATTTTAGTTGTGCACTAGTTAGCGAAGTGTGCGTTATTTGTTTCATTTGTGACGGAAAAAGCTGGATAGAAGGGTAGCCTTCTATGATATCATCACTTATGCCCGTCTGTCTCAATGACAATTTTAACAAGCACCACCTACTCCGTATTTTGTTTCAAGAACTTAAAAAAGTACCTTGACTTGGTATCGAATTTGTACTTCCAGGTGTCTAATGGCTCATCGTACTCTATCCACATTGTCGAATTCCCAGCATTTCCGTTGAAGTCAGTTTCTCTCCGTAATGTGACGGTGAGCGGTCAGAATCGGGGTCATGCCGGAGTGCTTATTACCGGTGGATGGGTTGAGAAGATCAATATCGATCGATCACTCTTCGCTAGGAATACTGTACCGAGTGTTATCATCGGTGTTGAAGTGAGTACAGTAGCAATTTGTTGAAAATGGACGACTGCCACGTTCGCGAGGCAAGATTTTTTAAAATGATAAACAATTTAAATAAGTTGAAGTTGTTGTAGATATAAATTATACAGTTTCTCTGTTATTCTCTTATGCAAGATTCTTCAACTGATGGGATCCTCTCGAACTTCTAATAAATGCACCTCCGATTTTTTTGTTTAATAATAAATAGCTTTGCAGAAAGTATTTTAGTGGTATATTTGCATATAAAAGCGATATGTGCAAGATTAAAACAGGTCTATTATCTAATTTTATGCGTTAAGATCACTTTCTGGGATGAAAATGGAGCTAAATTTGGATTTATGCATCACCTCGGACAACTAACACAAAGTTGACCGCGACTATTACGTTCGTTGCAGTGTCGTCAGCAAAAATCAAAAGCTCAACTGACAAACACGACGTTTCGTAACAATGAGGATGTCGTCGTACATTTTGATATTGGTGAATGTGTTAGCGTGTCAGTGATAGGGAATCGCTTCCTGGAGAACAACAAGGCTACTGGACACGGAGTGTTGATGCTTAACGCGGCACCAAAAGAAAAGGTGAGCAGTCAGGAGAACATCACCGTGCTTTTGGCTAACACTTTTTTTCTAACACTAACACTTTATTTTTCCCGTAGTCATTGCCTTCATCAATTTTTGAGTTTTTCCTAAAGCTGAGCTACCTCCATTTTTCGACTATTCTTATATTTTTTAAAAAGAAAAAGTATTAGTTCTCTAGTCGGCAATAATATGTAGTATTTTCTAAGACAAGTTGGATATCGGCAGTTATTCTTGATATTATGTAATCAGCCGGGAGTTACCAACATTATCAACTTAGAATAAAGACGTTCTCGATATTCCTGTTGAGCAAACACAAGGTCTTACTTTATTCTTTACTCCAGCAAAGCCGACATTTTGGCAGTATTGCCCTCTTTGAGGCCTAGAAGGGTATATTGATATAGAAAAGATCCGTAGAAATGTAGAATTACTTGATCAGCGCCGAGGATAATAGGAAGTTGATCATGGGATAAAAGACGATATTTCTCAACCCTCGTTAAAGTCTTATAATAAGCAAAGTGTTTGAACGTATTATGTGTTACGTGCAAAATGTAAAGGGGCGCCTGTAGGGCAGTACTGGAAGGTGCCCTGTAACACACGCCTGGAGTCGATCTCTGCCCCCATGGCCCGCCAAGCTTTCCATCCCTTCAGGGTCGGCAAATTGATACCAGACTTGTCTGGAAGGATAGCAGCACTGGCCTGATACATCGGTAGCTCACCGCGAGTCATTGTAAAGATCAGATATGCATTCAATCACCTCCAAACGATGCTTAGTGGAGTCAAATGCATGGCGCATCCCTCAGGGGTTGATCAACGTTGAGAGCTTTAACCTTTATCTTTATGTTTTGTGTGTGAAATGTATAAAGAAATAGTGATTTCTAATTAATATTTTATTTGCATTGGTTATTGGTTACAAGACTTCCGCTGCCTTTGTATACCTCGTGTTAAATGATTTTTCTTTTTTTTTGTTTTACAACGCGTCTTTTCACCAAATTACCAGAAATTTCACAAAATGGTAGGCCTAACAGTAAAGAAAATTCTACGGCAAATATGAAGTGATAAACTTTTTCAGATGGACTAAAACCATGTAACTAAGTAGTTAAAATTACCCTACTGTCCTCGGGTAGTAATCCAAAACCGCGTAAACATCCTGAAGAGTTCCGGATAAATTCCAAATCCAAAAAGGAACCGCATGGAGGATCCATTGTCATCGCGCATGATCTCGCATCATATCTTACATCGATTTTTTGACCCGAGCCAGGCACATTCCTCGCCCATACAGGTCTCTGCGAGGCTATTCCAGCCCAAATAACTAGAAGTGTTACAACGGAAAAACGAAAAGTTACCAAACCTTTCTATTTACTGCCTATTACTATTTTTGACGGCATGGTACGATGTAGAATGCAACCACTATGGTATTGAAATATTTTCAAAACTTGGACACCAGGCCAGATCGAACCGCATGGTACCACGTGTTCAATCTGGCTAGGGGACCAAGTGTTGCAAACGGCGGTTTATGATGCGAATGATTAGGTGCTAATGTGAAACCTTTTAGGTGAATTTAGGTGTTAAGTCTTATTCGCTATGGTTGCGAAGGTGTTTGGCTGATTAGATTGGATGTCAATTTGACCCTTCTGGGCTGTGAAGAAGGTGAAATCGCCTATACATCCGGTATTCGGTAATCGTATTAATAAATGCTGTAGCGACAACCTCGTGTTTAGTCATCAAGAGAAACGGTGAATTAGTTGAAATCAGAGTCAAAAAATTAAAATTAAATCAATTAATTATGCTAAATAGTTGATTGAAAAGCTTAAGTGGGTCCTTATTTCTGTCATACCTGTGTGAAAACCAGTTTGTTTTTAAGTTTTCTGCACTTCCAATTGTTGTGGAAGAGAACGAATTCTCGAGAAATGGTGGCGAATATGCGGCGATGTTAGCAATGCATGGCACCAGTGCCGCCAGTGGATCTGGATGGTTTCGTGGAAATCGCTTGTTAGGTGTGGAACGTTCTAACAACCTATCATACTTTTTTAAAAAAACCATTTGTTTTTACAATGGTGTGATTTTTACCTACCATTTCTTTTTCATGGCCAGAGTATAATGTGAAATACAGCCACACGAGTGCTGAGATATGAGTAAAACTCGCAACCTCGGATGAGCTTCGAACCCGCAATCAACCCGCTTTCAGAGACTCACGTTTGATCCACTACACCAATCGGGGCCTTTGTTTTGCTCTTCGCTTAGCCACTTTTTTAAACAAATAAGTGAAAAAGTAGGTCGAAGTGGTTAAGTAATAGGTGAGTAAATGAAATGAAGGATAAAGCTATCGGCATTGATCAATCCATGGGGAATGCGCCATGTATTTGGCTTCATTAACCATCGTTAGAGGAGATTGAATGCATATCTGGCCTTTACAATGACTCACGATGGTCTACTAATGTATCGACCCAGTGCTGCTATCCTCCTAGACAAGTCTGGTACCAATTTGCCGACCCTGGAGGGATGGAAGGCTTGGTGGGCCTAGGGGCAGAAATCGATCCCACGTGTATTACAGAGCGTCTCCGACCACTGCGCTACACGCGCTCCTAATAGGTGAATAAATAAGCAAGTAGGTTATTAAATAAAAGTAGGTGGATAAAGTGGGAAATAAAGGAGCAGTGAGTAAATAAAAGTTGAAACACTGTGATTTCTAGTGCAGTTTCAGCTTAACTGAGTTTAATGCCGATTTGTGCTTCTCCAATCATTTTCGTTGTCAGATGATTACTGATAACACCGTTAGGAAGAAAACTAGCTGAAAGAAAGGCAAAACCCGTGTGACGTGATGGGGCAGTGGTTAACACGTTAGTACACGGAAGATGTAATCGAGGGTTCGAAGCTCAACTGAGGCTCCGAGTTTTGTTTATATCTCAGCGTTCTTGTGGTACTGTTTCTTCGCTTAAAAGCTTCCCAGAAATATCCCATACAAGTAACTTGCTCCTTGTTCATCAACTTATTGCTATAACTGGTTTTAACGATTGGCCCACATCTTAGCACTTATTCCACTGTGTTCGTTGCATAGCATTACGCCATCCAGGAAAGCATTTGGTTTTGCATCTGCTTCAGTCACTTCTCGAAGACTTTGCCTCTTTGTCTGATATTGACGAATGCTTGCCGAGTTACTTTTCTTTGAAATTCTGGGATGGCTCTGAAAAACTCCTTCTAGGTTTTCACCACCGGTGGTTGCCAACCTTTGTGGGTGGGGCAATGCTTTTACCAGATAACTAGTGGACTAATTTGCCCACCCCGAAGTGATTGGAGACGGTTTGCCGAGCATTGTTCGAACCAAAGACCAAGGGTGTACTGTATAACATCTGTCTAAGCACTCCACTTCTTACACACAAAGTGCTAGTAGTTTCGTCAACAACAACGAAGTTATACGGACCAAATTGGCTGTTCAGTTTACGCGCGAAATTTTGTTAATCAAATTGCTTGTAGTTGATACGAAAGAGATCACTGGATTGGTCACTGGTTTTTCGCTCTTAATGCGTATTGCGATCCTATCGTTGTGATCCTGTGACCCTATACCTTCATCGTTGTGTCGCTACCTCATCGTTGTTTTCATAACATTCATCAATATCATAATGTTAGACGTTTTCCAATGTTTGTTGCCAATCTGAAAAAGTGGCTATGACCTTAGCCTCAATCAGTAACTTACATAACTAGCCGGCGCTTGGGTTTCTTTCTAAGGCAATAGCCATTTACTTTTTGGATAGAGAGCTTAGTTGGCTTCAGCGATAGCTGAACTGATGGTGCACACAGCAATGTTGTTTATATGTACAGTAAACTGAGCATTCTGCCTTATAATTCAAATATGCCCCAGTTATTTATGCATAATGGTCGCTTTACTTACTTAGATACTTGGATGCTTGGATAGCCCATCTCCATTGGTTAATTGGGTCTCAGTATAACTCCCATTTTTTTCGGAGTTTTGCTGGCTTAGCTGTTGTGGTTTCCTGAAGTCCCTCAGCCTAGCCAATGTCTGCCACAGGTCGCCACTACCACAGGCAGTCACTGCCTTTGTGGATCAGATAGAGATTTGTAACCGTGCGACTAGCTCGGTACCAGGACGGTGGTAGGTGCTGGTATTGGTTTACACTTAGCTGGGCTTCTCGATAGAAACGCCGGTCTCCTTCTGTTTCTAATTCGCAGCTATGAAATCCTTAACAACGAAGTGATTGTTGTTCAGACAACGATAACTCAGTAGCATCGGTTATCGTGACATCGCCTTACTACCGTATTGATGCGAATGAGTTTTCAAATCCATCTTCTGCTCATGACTTAGATGTACGTTCAAACGGGTCATGGGTAAGTTCGATAATCTTTTTAATTTTGCATGTCAGTGAAAAATGAATACACCTATAGATTAGTTTGCAACGTCTTTTTCTATCAAGTGATTTTTAATATAAAATGAATCAGTCAGCTGCTTAAAACTTTTGACGCAAGAATAGATGTTAATATGAAAATTCAAGGTTTTCAAAACCACGGCGAGTATTTGCAGAAAACACCAGCATATTTCCGCAAAAAATATCTCGATATATCTTCTGGCCATCTTCTAGTCACTTGACACTTGACACTTGAACGGCCCGTCCTCGTTCGTTGTATGGGCTCCAGCATAATCACCATTTTCCGGAGATTTGGTGGTTAAGCCATTGCGGTTTCTTGAAATCTCGAGGTCTGCCTGGCGAAAGTCTGCCCCAGGTCTTTACCACCACGGGCAGTCGCATCCCTTGTGGATCAGAGGCAGATTTGCCACCATGCGACTTTGATACCAGGACGGTGGTGTATCCTGGTATTGGTTTACTCTTAGTTAGGTTTCCTGATGGAAGCGCCGGACTCCTTCTCAGCTTGGGAGACCCTGCCGGGTGCGGGAGGGGAAGGGGAATCCGTCCGCTGTACATTGCAGTCCGACACCCAGGAACACCTCCCAGCCACGATGAGGCGGTAAACCGTTGGGAGGAACTTTTAGTCAACTTCAGAATACAACCACAACGTTACTGAGATATTTGCAAAACTCTGGACCGAAGGTGTCCATGGTGTGGAACGAACGCGTTATTATCCTTTCTGGAGAGTAACGGGCCTCAGCTTAACTGGGTTCAATGCCGATGTGGGCTCCCAGATCAATCCCGTTGACGGGCGACTGCTGATCGCGCTGAGCGATAGAACTAGCTGAGAGACAGGAAAAACAAAGGACTTGTATGGTGTGGTGGCGAACACGTTACTCCCCGAAAAGGACAATAGCGCGTTCGTTCTCCAATATAGACACCTGCGGTCCAAAGTGTTGCAAATATCTCAACAACGTTGTAGTTGTATTTCGCTTAGTACCCTGCTGTGAAAATTCTAGTAGGCAGAAAATAAAAGGTAGAACTTTAGAATAAATAGTCATTAGCCAGGAATGTTGATAAGCTCTCATGGATTTGATAGAAAAGAGATGGTGGCTGTTGCTCGGTAGCGATTTGCCATTTTCGTAACTTCTTCCTTGATACCTAATGATGATACGGTTAATCAATTCCCTCCTGACAAAAGAATTCATGCTTTGGGTACTATTTAGTTTTGAAGGCCTACCGCTTTGAAGATGGTGTGTTGCCAAAACATCAGCTGCAATAGCCTAGCAATCTTCGACATTGGTTAAACGAACATATAAATCTATAAACGGGTTGAGCAACCTCTAGGTATTTTGAATTACTGGTTTTGAAGCGGAAAAATGAACACGCATAATATAGAGAGTGCAATTCTGTTATTGTTGATTTTCAGAAACTTGAAGCTACCGGAAACAAATGGCACACAACCGACATGCTGAAGGCAATTAAAGCACCGGAAGGTAAATTCGCGCAGCACTCAGAACAGATCTGAACATAGGTTGAAAATCTGGAAAACGATAAATTTGCTCGCCCTGATAGCCGACGACTGTCTGTGGTTGGTTGGATGGTGATGGCAATCTGGAACTAACCTGGCGCGGCTATTTTCGCTATGTGGGAAAAGAAGAAATTCATAAAGAAGACCAAATCCTCAACTAGAAGCTGAAACAACACGCGAACTATTCGAAGGCCTTTGTGAACGATGAATGTGAGGAAAACGAATCGAATTCAAAAATTGCTGGGTTTCCACAGTAAACCTGATGACAGGTCCTGTGAAATATGTAAAAAAGCCTAAATTTTTCTATTTGTATGCGTTCCGTGGTACAGTCAGGCAGTTCGAACCGTGTTTTGTTGATGTTCGGCCTTTTATGAGTACTTCATTACAGGATCAGTTAAACTGAAAATTGATGAAGTGCTGACAAAACCTGATGCTCAACTACTTCCTGATAATTCACAGTGTGCGCATCTGAATTATTGCTCTCATGTCGGCAACTGCCAAGGTTTGACAATTAGAATATTGATTCTTATTGATTGCTCACTTCTATAGATTGATCCGTTTCCATAAAGGTCACAATACATACTACTGCTTTTATGCAATATTTTATCCACCCAATTTGTAATTTATCTCAATGCAACGATTTTTTCCCTATCAGCTGCTCACAATTACAGGCATTCTTTTCATGATTGTTCACTTATTACGGGTAGAATTTTAGAGCGATGTTGTGGAACATGTCCACATTTTTGTTTTTATTCCTACTGATAATCACGTTTTCATTTATCTCAGGTCTATTAATTTATGTGATTTTATAAACTGATCTTCTTAAGCTGACGCGAGGTTGGTACAGGTCTTCGTTGTCGTTGTCGTTGTTTTTGATGTTATCGATCGATGGCTGACGTTTCGGCGACTTCGCCTTCCTCAGAGCCTCGACGTATTTTATACTACAATATTTTTATTATTCGGTTGAAAAAAAGGTTAAAGTGTTAATGAAGATCAAACTTTCAAACAGACGCCATATTGAACAGAAAGGCCACTTACCGTGATGTTACGTGCGGGACTGGCCCACACGTAGTTCACGTGGGATCGCGAGCAAGACACACCCTGCACATTATACTTCCACGTGATTTCTGCGCGGTTGGTCTCTACGTGACATACTTAGTGGAAACCTCATAGAAAGCGGCTCTGAAGAAGGCGAAATCCGCCGAAACGTCAGCTTAATCGTGAACAAAGAATAGTAACACCTCGCATTTGCTCAACAAAAATACGAAGAAAACCACACCTAGGGGTCAAAATATCATTTTGAAATAGGGCGCCAGGTCACGCGTGATAGTGAGGCGTTCGCCCTTCCGGTTCATCTTTGGATTTTTGAAATTTATCCAAAACGCCTCAAGAGTTCTGCGCGTTGATGTTTTCGATTCCTGCGCTAGGATCCGCACATTCACTTCAAAATCATCGCCGTTGTGCTTTTGTGCCCTATGCGTACCTAGAGGGGTGTTTAAACGGATTTTAGCTTTCCCATCTCGATATTCTTTTATGCGGACACAAAATGGTCTACCCGTTTCCCCAATATATTCCTCGCCGCATGCATTACATGAGATCAAGTCCTACCTTCGTCCGAAATATTATTTTGGGAAACTACCCAACGTTTTTCCCTGACCCGAGTGGCTTCTACTTCGTAGCCATTGGAAATGGCAATTTTTCCTTGCCAGGCTTCGCGATTCCTTCCTTCCCTCTTCTCCTGTGCACACATTTTTAGCCGTACGATACATATTTTTAATAAGTGCATTTTTCATGCGTGAAGCATGAGAGGAGAGGCAGTGGACTAGAATGTTTTTACTACTTGGCTTGCGATACCATTTTGTTACATAGCCACTTACTGAGGGCTTTATTTCGAAAGACCGACTTTCTATAAACCTCAGTATAGATAGTTGATATATTTATTTATGTGATCTTATAAATTGATCTTCTTACGCTGACGCGTTTATAAAATTTACACGAGAAAAACCTACCGAGAACCGCCTTCCATTTTTAAACATCCAAATAAAGCTCTCAGTAAGTGGCTATTTAACAAAATGGTATCGCAAGCCAAGTAGTAAAAACATTCTAGTCCACTGCCTCTCCTCTCATGCTTCACGCATGAAAAAAGCACTTATAAAAAACATGTACCGCAGGGCTAAAAATGTGTGTACAGGAGAAGAGGAAAGGAAGGAATCGCGAAACTTGGCACGAAAAATTGCCATTTCCAATGGCTACGAAGTAGAAGCCACTCGGGTCAGGGAAAAACGTTGGGTAGTTTCCCAAAATAATATTTCAGACGACAGTAGGATCGCCTTTAAGCTGCCCTTCATATCAAATGAAGTAAGTCACGCCATTAAAAAGTGCTTAAGAAAAAGTGGTCCTGAAAATTATGTAACGATTGTTGACATCCCACCCAATACCCTACGCCGCCAGTTAGTTCGAAACCGTCTCTATGATCGTTTGTGCAGCTCAGAAAACTGTATGATCTGTCCTAACGGGAGAAACGAGGATTGCAAGAGTTTAGGTATAATATACTTGATCTCATGTAATGCATGCGGCGAGGAATATATTGGGGAAACGGGCAGACTGTAGTTGCTAGTCGAAAATAGGCCTTCGAGTCAGTTCTCGGCACCCAGTAATCACTAGCTTTTAGCAGAATGCTCGACTTCGTGAATAAATGCCACGCGGAACTTTTCGTAGTAGTCACACGGCAATACCTCAAACTTGGGTAATTAAACCTTTATATACATAAATGCAACAATAATAACATAATAGTAACTATAGAGAAGTAGTGGTAGAGGAATGAGACAAGTTAGAGCTCTGAGGTGCTAAGGCCTGTAGTGAAGTGAGGCTAACAATGAGGCAATAGCATTCAAACATTGTAATACCATTAACACAATATTAACAATAATAAAGAGATTATAACGAAGTAGCCTTTGCTTAACCGTAAGCGATGCCGCGCCGCGTCTATTCGCGGCCGGCGCGGCGGCTGAGGGAGACAGTATGCTGGGGGCGGAGGGAGGAGACTGTATGCCGCGGAGATGGAGACAGTATGCTGAGGTGGTGAGGGTTACAGACTGTCCGTGTTTCGGCCAAGCTAAGATTTCAACATTATGGCGATGAGGAGCATTTTAGTTGATCGATGAGGACTGTAAGTTACATGAGTGTTGACGGTGCTATGGACAGCGAATGATGAGTCATCTACGGAACACAGTCAGGCGGCTGGTCGTGAATAACGCTATGTCAGCAACGTGAACTTTGAGCATCGATGGGTGCCACCATTGCCTAAGGGTAAGGGCCATT